TGCTGATCAGATGTGTTTATTTCACACTGTAATATATCACATTTCTCATCTCTAACACAAAGACAGTAAGATAACAAAGAAAGCAGTCATCAACAACAACTCACTCAGTCACAAAACAATCAATCATTTCAGATAGAATTCCCTAAAACTCATCAGTCAAGTAAAACTAGCCCTATTCTAATGTTGTGTAAGCCTATAATGATGGGAACTGCTATCCTCTTATTTTTTTTTTTCTTTTTTTTTTTTAAATGCTGTCTAATGCAGAGTTTTGTCTGAATTTATTTGGAACCTATCATGGTGTCTGGAGTTGACAAGTTCTACTCTGTATTTGATTTTTTTTTTTCAAAACAGAAAAATCCTAAATTAAATGTAAATGTAAAATGATAATGCTAAATTTCAGTGATTCCTGAAAAAAAAAACATTGTGAAAAGTTTACAAAATAGAGGCAGAGTAATCAAAGAAGCTATAGACATGGACTTTTGGCTCAGAGGAGCTAAAAAGATATCATTTTATCCAGAATAGAATTCATACAGTCAAACTTCGTTATCTTGAACCTGATGGGGCTGAGAAAAAACTTTGAGATATCTGAGGATTCAAGATATTGAAGGTTAAATCTTAAAGAATATGTGGTTGGGACTTCTAAATCACTTTGACATATCCATGGTATTTGAGATATCAGAGTTCAAGATACATGTACCAAAGTTCAACTGTATTAATATCTTTTATGAAATAAATTTGATTTTAGATGAATTATATTTACCCATAAACCTGAACATATGAAGTTTTCTTTAAAAAGACCTAGACCTGTATAAAGATTTCTACTAATAAAATACTGAAAATCACTGCAGTATTAATATTTTTATAAAAAAATATTTTAAACTACCCAATTTATAATGTGCTTATTAACTACTGCAACAGGGTCTTGTGAAAGAAATATAAAGGATATCTATATGTTTTCAAATATAAAGTGTGTAGTGAGAATAAAAATGAATGTTCCCAATAGCAAGGAATGCTTATATTAATAAATCAAAAAACTGAACCTATACCTGTACCTACATAATATACAGGTATCTTGTAAGCATTAAAAATAATACAAAAAAATAAAATATTAAGTTTTCTTGGATTACCTGCTAGAAAAAAAAGCTACAAAATACATTAGACTTGGAAACAAAAATATTTTGCATTTATAAATGAAAATGTGCACATTAAAGGGATTCAGGCAGTTACATTCATACAATATTCTCCGTTATTTTTCTCACAGGCACTTGGCAACCATTTCCAATAATTTGGAATTTACCAATTTTTTTTCTATTTGTGTATTCTGATATGCATTATAACTATGTATCCCTTTTTAATCTCTTAGGAACTGTTTTTATGTTTTCATTTTCAACTGATTCTCTCATGTATGAAAAGAAAAATAATGTGAATTCCAGATTTCAAAGAAAAAAAAAGGAAGGAGGTGGTAATTGGATGATTGATTCTGGGTCTATGCTCCCAAATGCCAGTGATTTTACAACACAGCCCAACTATAAGATAATATTGCACAACATAAAATTGGCATTCAATAACTTTTTCTATGGTTGCTTTCTATCCACTAGGTTGAAAATCTTCTTCACAAGCAAGATGAAACAAAAAGTAGTATTTGGTATTAAACAATTGAGCAATTTTACAATTTTAGATATGATAATACTTGGCTTAAGATTCAACCACACACATACATGTAAGTCAATGCCACTGAACACATTCATACTTAGATGTACACATTAACTTGCCACATATTAACATAAACACCTTACAACACTTCCAATCTAATTCTTTCCACTTGGTGTTGAGTTGATATTCTGACATATTGCACTCCAATTCATATTTGAAAGATTGTTAGTTAACATTTCATCTTCTGATTCGATTCCATCCAAGGGAAATTCACCTAATATTCTTGATAAATTCTCATTGTTACTGGAGTTCAAATCTCCTTTTATTGGAGTCAATCCAGAAAACAGATTGTCAAACTGAGAGGCATTCGGACTGCGCATAAGAGAAGGGGACATTTTCTTCATATTCAACATAAAATTTGGTGAACCAAAAGGATTTCTGCCATCTTCCAAATCTTTGAAGCCGTCCAGAAAACTGGAATCCAGCAGACTAACTCCCTTAAGAGGAGTGATGCCCTTAATGGGAGACGGAAGGTTGGGGGAACCAGTGGTATTCTTCATTGGGGTCGACGTTGTCACTTTGTCTGACTCATTGCCATCTAGGATTGCCCTCAGCGGAGTCGGTAAATCTTGCTCTAGTTTATTTATAAATTCCTTCACATCATTGTCGTTATCATCAGAACTATCATTCAAAAGGTCACGTTCTTTAGGAACCAGTTTTTGTTTTCTGCGAGACCGTTGCCTTTTCTGTGGATTAGATTGAGGGTAGATCTTAGGCTTGGGTAGCCCATTGTTCTGTTTCTTTCGTTTGGCACTTAAGTCAACTGTGTCTGTATTTAGTGTATTACCAATCGTTTCGGTTCTCTTCTCGTTGTCACTGAGAGACTGGGCATTTATCCAGGCTTGCTCGACAATGTTTGGTGAAGAAATTTTTGGAGCAATAGTGATTATCTTTTTCTTACTGTGTTCAATTTTCTTGTCACCTTTCTCTATACTTAAAGATGCATCTGGAAAACAATTATAAGGAAATCAGGTCATTTCTAAATTAGTTTGTTTTTCTGAGAATCCAGCTGAAATTTCCAAAAGCCTGAAAAAATTAAATTTCAATAAAAATGCATGTCATATTTTACATATGTCAAATAAAGCTTCAATTAACATTCTTGTTCTGTATCAGCTGATTGATCAAAAAACACATATTTGGCAGAAAAAAATTCCACCTAGCTGCACTTTTAATGGGTTGGTTGCATTACCAGATTCTAGCAACAAGCATTATTTTTTAGGCCTCAGAGAAATTCATTTGAGCCTCAGGTCCAGGGATGGGGTAATCGTAATCAGTAATCGTAATCAGCTGTAATCGATTACAGTTTGCCAAGTAATCATGAGTAATCAGTAATCATCCATTTTTCTGATTACAAGTAATCGTAATTTAATCGATTACTCTCAAAAAAGTCCTGTAATCTTGATTACTTTTTGATTACTTTATGATTACAGTTATTAAAACAAAGTTCATGAAATAATGATTTTTTATTATACCAGTGAGAACTAGAACTGTCCAATAGGGACAAATACCCCCCGCTGGGTTTTTCAGAGAAGGTGCCAATTCAAAAATACTTAATGGATCTTGAGGTGTTCACTATTTACTTATAAAAATTTACAGTAAAATATAAGTGCTCATTATGTTTTTTAATGAGTGAAACAAAAGTGCAACCAAATGAAACATCAATAACTAATACATTGTAATTCAATCGTAACATTTTTTTTATTTCTGCATTAAAGAAATATATTGCAATTATGTGTCATGACACTCTGCAAACTAATTGTTGAAAAAAAAATCATTATACAAAATCAAATTAATCTTGATATATCAAATTCATTTTGAAAATAAAAAGCTGGTCATCCAGTAATGAAGTGCTTTGACAGACAATAAATTACAATTAAGAGAATAAGAGAAGAGAGATCTTTAATTCTTGTGCCTTATTCCCTATAGATTTGATAACACACACACGCTTGATAAGAGATATGCCTTAACAACCTCCAACACCAAACTCATTAATTTATCTTTAACTGGATGCATGTCCAGTCATTATTCCCAAGAGACAAATGAATTTACATTATCTTCTATGTAATGTAAAAACTGTTTTAAACACTTGATGATGTTTCTTTTTTTCAGTTTTAATGAGTTGTTTTAAGCTGTACTAGTTCACATTTTTGTACAGATATTCTAGATTCTATCTCTCAAACCTTATAAATGAGCCCAAAATGAACAAGTCAATTTAAATAAAAAGTAAAACCTGTAAAATGCAGAAAAATAAACAAATAAAGTTGAAAATTCCAGGTGCACACCTTCATATGGTGAATAATAAGTGTGCAAATTTTCGGGTAAATCCTTGCAATAGTTTGTGAGAAACGGTCTGCACAAGACCACAAAATAAAAATGAAAAAACACCTGTAAAATTCAAAATAATCATCCAATCAAGATGAAAATAGCAGGTGCACACCTTCATATGGTGAATAATATGTGTATAAATTTTCAGACAAATCCTTCCAATAGTTTTTGAGAAATCGTCCGGACAAAATCTCGTCTACAGACAGACAGACAGACGGACAGACGGACAGACGGACATGGTGATTCCAATATACCCCCCCTAAACTTCGTTTGCGGGGGGTATAAAAAGTTATAAAATTATAAGCTATTTTTAGTAGGGTGTCTTTTAATGCTTCCAGAAATGCTTATAATCAGGTCTATTGTCCAGACAATGAGTAAATTCTATCAGTTCCTAGCTATATTCAGTAGTAATTTCAAAATACTTTAGCAGTTTATAATTAGCAATTCGCCATTTTGACTTTGTATATGTATAATTGAACTTGAAGAAAATTACTACAGGATCATTTTAAAGTTTGATTTTTTTTTTGTTTCAATCAATTAACATAATTGTGTGAAATGCAACATTTTGTTTTCGAATTCCCTAAAAAAATTTGTTTGAATAAACATGTTTTTTTAATATCAAATATTCCTTTATTGAGATGTGTATTCTAAAAATCACTTTGTTTGATTTTAGGTGTACAAACAAGATATGTTAATTAATTAGTAATAAAACACCGTTATACCAAAGCTGGGTCAGCTTGGGTTATAACAATTTAACAATTATTGAACTATCCATGCTTGCCCAGTCAATGTGTTAATTCTTGTAAAAACATCTAGTAATTGGCAGCTTAACTGAAAAGCTCATCAAGAAGGTCAATTACTTGTGTAACAGTTCTCTATCGAATCCCTTTATGCATAACTATAATTATGTCCAGTTTCATAAATAATTTTTTTTATTATGCCCCCCTTCGAAGAAGGGAGGGCATATTGTTTTGCTGCTGTCTGTCAGTTGGTTGGTCTGCATGTCAGTCCACCATCAGTTTCCGTTCATTTTCTTCGCAACCATTGCACATACTGAAATGAAATTTGGTATACAGATATATCATTTGAATATCTAGGCCAAGTTCTGTTTTGGGTACGATCGCACCATCTTTGACAGAGTTATGCCCCTTGAACTTAGAAAAATTTCAATTATTTGCAGTTTCCGCTCATTTTCTTTGCAACTGTTACACATACTGAAATGAAATTTGGTATACGGATATATTACATTAATATCTAGGACAAGATCTCTTTTTGGGTACGATTGCACCATTTTTGACAGAGTTATGCCCCTTGGACTTAGAAAAATTCCAATAATTTGCAGTTTCCGTTCATTTTCTTTGCAACTGTTGCACATACTGAGATGAAATTTAGTATACAGATTTATCAGATGACTATCTAGGTCAAGTTCTGTTTTGGGTACAATCGTGCCATTTTTGACAGAGTTATGCCTTTTTGAACTTGAAAAAATTCTAATTTGGGGGGGAGGGGGGCATAAGTGTTATACAAACATCTCTTCTTTCTATCTCAACAATAACACAGATATTTACTCGTATTAAAGATAGAAAACATGATCTTAATAAATCTTAAGCATCCATATAAAGAAATGTACCACCAAACTTTGTCTGGATTCTACCTTCAAAATATAATTGCTATGTAATTGATTACTTTTAAAAATGTCTGTAATCAGCTTGTAATCAATTACTTTTAAAATCCAAAGCAATTGTAATTTAATCGATTACTTTTGAAAGTAATCGACCCCATCCCTGCTCAGGTCAGCATAAAGGTGGCCTACTATTAAAATTATATATTTTTTTTATATTGATAATTCTGGGATCCTGACTACTGTAAATTCCTTATTTTTTGCGAGCAGATATTATCACGAAATGGCTCTTTAATGTCAAATCGCGAGAAAAATTATTCGCAAACGAACGATTGTTCAAAAGAATTTACATGGATTTTAGTACCATAAAAATAAAAGCGAGTCATTTTATTTTGCGAGTGATGCTTCTTGCGAAATTATGCGATAATTAATTCCTCGCGTATAATTAGGAATCTACAGTACCTGATTCTTTCTGAAAGTCCTGAGCTAATGGTGGGGGGTTGGATGGCACCTGGATCAGCATGGGTTGCCCCTGGGTGCTGGACATTCCCTGGGGTTGATTCATGCTCTGTATTGGGATAAGAGCAAAAGTCTGCAGAGATGAGCCATAGGAATGTGGGCGGGGTAATATTGGCTGAAGACCTGTTTTCAAAAAAAGTATTTAAAGTAGGGATGTCAACGAATATTAGAGTACTCGACTATCGTTCGATCATACCGACTATCGACTAAAATTTCTTTAGTCGGTTATTCGTTAAAAATGTGTTTCTGATCTTCATCAAAGTGATTTTGCATTCTGCAGTGTAACGTCAGGCATGATGTATCATATGCTGAATCAGTCAAACATATATATCAAGTGAAACTTTCCTAAAGCAAGTTCTCTGCAAAAAATGACAAAAAAGCAGATTGAGAAAGAAAATCAAACATGTTTGTTAATGATTGTCTACCTCTTACTGTTTTAAATGGAGAGGGCAATTGTTTAGTTTTGTAGATTCAAACCACGATTTGACGTGGTGCATTGTACAACTATTCAGAAAAAATATTAATTAAAAAACTGTTACGAAATTGTAAATACATGTAAATTGGGGTCGCTTATGTGGGTAATTAAACCGTGTTTTCTTTTTTTCTGATGTTAATTTCATACAATCATTGATTGTTTGCACAACTTCTCATAATTAAAATTTATTCTAAGCTCTCACTCTCTCTTTGTTTTTATGAGAGACACGCTTTAATTGTTTACCTGTCAAAGATCATTGACGGACATGTAGAAAAGGCTTCATTTATGGGGTACATGTACTACCGTTATGTAAAGAAAGGAAAACATGAGCATTTGATATCCTGCATTTAGATAAAATGTGCAGCTAATATATTAATTTTGAAATCCAATACATTGGATATATATTGATGAACAGTTTTTCTTGTACCATGTACATGGTTACAATTCAGAAATTCATTGTATAATGGTGATAGCGTAGGTAAAACATTGTAAACTTATCTATAAAAGACAAACAGTGAAAATGATATGAAAAAATAATTAAAATTAAAGGAATATTCGACTATCGTTCGACTAAAGCATCCGACTATTCGACTAAGCTGTCCGAGTAAAATTGACATCCCTAATTTAAAGTAATGTTTTGAATTTTGAAAAGGCATTCTTCATTAAAAAATTTTAAATGGTTGAATATTTTAAACACGCATACATAATTAACTATGAAGGCACTGTTTCACATTTTGCTCCACAGTACTATGTAAAATATATTTGCTATATATTAAAAATTATCCTAGAAATCATGACCAGGCTAAAGATGCAAATATAAAATCTTCAGACTTCTACTGTATTTTATACCAATTTAAGCATATTGAGTATCAAGCAAAAACGTCAGTAATGCATTGTTTTGAAAAAAGTCAAGAATCAGAATCTTCAGTGTTTAGACATGAATATCAATTTTTAAATACAGTGGAACCTCATTTATACGGTCTCTTTCTTTCCTAATCAATTTGTCCAGATATGTGAAGCATCTGGATACCTGAATTACCAGTTAAACAAGACAAAATAATGTTAAAAAATTCTGTTCCGATGAAAAATTGTCCAGATACTGAAGCTTCAGGATATCTGGCATCCGGATATCTGAAGGTCCACTGTAGTGGACATTGTACAGCTACTACAGCAGTGCATACATGACTGTCTGAAAGGCAGCAGTAATGAGCATCTTTCTTGAGTAAGGACATAAAATATTCAGTAACTCGTTATTTTTCATCAATATACATGTATAAAGATATTGCAGTGGGCACCACTTATGGTGCCTCCATAAGTAAATATGAGTATCAATTTACAACAAGTACTAATCTGAAGCCTACTTCTTTTGAGTCCCTCTGGGTTGTTCCTGTGGTGGGGTGGGATTGGTAGTTTGGGGATCTTTGGTGCTTGGTGTGGAAGGAACACAGGATAATTGGAGAGAGAGGTCGGCACATCTGAAATGCATATAGCTGACTTATTAAACAGAACTTTTACTGCTTATATTTCTATTTAATATAAAAAATCAACATGTACCGGTATGCTGTTTATAAGAAATACATCGGACACTATTTATGCAACATTTTAGTGATGCTTAAAAAGGCAAACTCATCCCCTACTCTCAGTCTCTCTGAAAAAACTTTTGATCAGAAGAGTGATTTACTATAAAAGTGTACTTTTTCAGATAATGGCAGACAAATATTATACATGTATTAATAAAAAGTCATTTTAAATGCAGTGAATAGATATACCAGTATTGATATACCGCTTACAACAAGATGATTTCTTACTCACATACTATTTCTAATATGTTGGATAGAACAAAATCACTGTAAATATGACTAGTTTACCCAAATAAAAAGATCAGAATCTGTACTAGTCAGTGGAAAACAGTATTGAATATAACAAGGTATTTGCAGCATGGATGGATCGAATTGACAATTTATCAATCTTATTTAAGAAATAAGATACTGTATAGGGGATTAATTTCACGGGTTGTAATTTTCACGTTATTCTCTCATCTTACACAATCGCGGTTTCTTGAATTCGCGGATTTGGTATGTAATAAAAGTTGCTTCCCTTGTGTACATTTAACTCATACTGTAGCTACATGTAAACGACATTAATCAGCGTTATGTCTTTATTTCACGAACAACAGGGTAAGTTATTATAAAATTGATAGATTTTATAAATTATTAAGTAACACAAGTGCAGTTATTAATAGTCCCTAAACGTAAAATGACTTTCCTATATGCTATTACGATGAGTGCATGTGCACCCGAGATCTTCAATACAACGCGGCGAAAAACCACTGAACGGAAATAAAAGTTTTTATGTAGTTCTACGAAATAATATCCTTCCACACTTCCTTCGTCAGTAAGTTTGATATTTATTTGAATGATTTTTTAAAACCAAGTTGTCGATAAAAACTACATGAACTAATATGCATGAGAATGCAGGTAACAAATACACGTGGTAACATTAGTTACGCACGGGTAATCAAAACCCATGGCCCATGTGTTTTGATTGATGAAACATAAAGCGTTGGCTATTAAAACAGCTTTTGAACAAACACAAATTATTATCTGCCGATTTGAATTTAAGTAAAGCGTGATAATTAAAATTAATTGAATGACAGTACTACTCGCAATTACTGAAATGACCACTGACTGCATGTACACCTATATAAATCTATCGTACTAAGTCCATTCTCAAATTTCCAAATAAAACTTGGAGATTATTGAAAATTTATTCGCTGTTTCTTGAATTCACGGATTTATTACCACCGTGAATATAGCGAATATTAACACCGCAAGTTATTTTCCCCCTATACAGTATCATTTTTTGAGTTTTATTGGGATGTAAAACGGGTTGGTCACGTGATCAAATCTCATAAAGCCCGAAGGCTTTATGGAAGATGATACCTTATTACTTATATTTACATTTGTGACTGATTTATTACAAATAGTAAGGTACTTAAGTAAAGTTTGAAATCCATAATTTTTTTTTTCAAAACTCAACAGTATAAATTGAATGTGTTGATAACGTCGATCGCTTATGACGTCACTATCAAATTACGTAGATCGTTTATGAAATTTATGGTCACAAGACGAACGTGTTTTACGGAGATGTAAAAATGCCTTGTTCAAATAGTGTTATATAAGGGAAAACATTTGCAAATGTAAATATTCAAAAATAATATTGTCATTACAATTGGCTTCTAACAAGAAGCCAGTGGAAACAACACATATCAAAAAATGCATCTCATAATACCCAGAGGCCACTTTATAATAAACATAAAGTTTCACAAATACGATAATTAGTTTTACCTTTTTTCTCCTTCGATGGAACCACTTTAGATTTTTCTGGACAGTCCTCACGTATCGTCCAGTAGGAGCCATGTTTCTTGGACTTCTCTCTTTCAAATATACTGTACAGGGACAGATTGTGTCGGATGGAGTTCTGTTAACAATAAATACAAAGATATCACCACACATCTTTGATATATTGGAAGACATCAGTAACATTTATTTACTTCTTGCTTCTGTTGTTTCATGCATCATTGCAAAAAAGACAATGTAAAAATGAAAACATGTTATCTCCATTTTTCTAGAAACTCAACTCAGTCAGATTGAATACCATTTAATGACAGAATATTGGTACGTGTCTAATGAAATGATTCTTAGCCCCCTCCCCCTCAAAAATTCCTATGTATCATAATCTGCACATACTTACCCAACTTGTAACTTCTTAGTATATACAAGAGGCCCATGGGCCACATCGCTCACCTGAGAAGCTTTGACCATTCTGTTCTTTACTAGATTTCCCCCTTGTAATACATATTGTGACCCCACCCTACCCCACTGATCATAATTTAGACAATTTGAAATCTACACTACCCCAGGATGCTTCCACTTAAGTTTCAGCTATTCAAAGATTGTCCAATATATTTCTATGTAAAACTTCAATTCCCCATTGTGGCCCTGCCCTAACCCCCCACCCCCACCCCCACCCCCGGGGGGTCATGATTTGAACAATTTAGAATCTACACTATCCCAGGATGCTTCCACATAAGCTTCAGCTTTTCTGGCCCAGTGGTTCTTGAGAATAAAATTTTCAAAGATTTCTCCTAAATATCTCTATGTAAAACTTTGATTCCCCATTGTGGCCCCATCCTACCCTTGGGGGTCATGATTTGAATAATTTAGAATCTACACTACCCCAGGATGCTTCCACATAAGTTTCAGCTTTTCTGGCCCAGTGGTTCTTGAGAATAAAATTTTCAAAGATTTTTCCTATATATTTCCATGTAAAACTTTGATTCCCCATTGTGGCCCCGCCCTACCCCGGGGGGTCATGATTTGAATAATTTAGAATCTACACTACCCCAGGATGCTTCCAAATAAGTTTCAGTTTTTCTGGCCCAGTGGCTATTAAGAAGAAGATTTTCAAAGATTTTTCCTATATATTTCTATGTAAAACTTGGATTCCCCATTGTGGCCCCGCCCTACCCCCGGGGGTCATGATTAGAACAATTTAGAATCTACACTACCCAAGGATGCTTTCACATAAGTTTCAGCTTTTCTGGCCCAGTGGTTATTAAGAAGAAGATTTTCAAAGTTTTTTCCTATATATTTCTATGTAAAACTTGGATTCCCCATTGTGGCCCTGCCCTACCCCGGGGTGTCATGATTTGAACAATTCAAAATCTACACTACCCCAGGATGCTTCCACATAAGTTTCAGCTTTTCTGGCCCAGTGGTTCTTGAGAAGAAGATTTTCAAAGATTTTTCTATATATAGCTATGTAAAACTTGGATTCCCCATTGTGGCCCCGCCCAATCCCCGGGGTCATGATTTGAACAATTTAGAATCTACACTACCCTAGGATGCTTCCACATAAGTTTCAGCTTTTCTGGCCCAGTGGTTCTTGAGATGAAGATTTTTTAATGAACCCAGCCTATTTTTGTCTTTTCTTGATTATCTCCCCTTGTTAAGGAATTTGGCCCTTCATTTTAACAATTTAAATTCCCCTTCACCCAAGGATGCTTTGTACCAAGTTTGGTCAAAATTGGCCCAGTGGTTCTTGAGAAGAAGTCGAAAATGTGAAAAGTTTACGGACGGACAGACGGACGGACGGACGACGGACACAATGTGATCAGAAAAGCTCACTTGAGCCTTCGGCTCAGGTGAGCTAATAACCAACAAATGAAAAATTAAAATATCCTAATTAAACTTGTAGATATTTCACCTTCCAACCAGGTTTTGCTGTGTGTTTGTAATAAGGGAAGATTTCCTCAATCCATTTGCATATTTCACGCAAGGTCTTCCGCTTGTCCTCCCTGCTATTCAAGGCCATCTGGATCAGGGTCATGTAGGAAAATGGAGGTCTCTTTGCCCTCCCATACTCCTTAGCAATCTATTATGAAAATCATATGTGATTTAGACTTTAACAAAAGAACAGTATCTTCTAATCTTTAAGTCTTTATTGGCAAAAATATTTCTAAAACCGAAGATAAGTTTCTTTGATTTTGGAAAGGTATTCATGTTAAAAGTTTGTAGTCAGAATTCATTAGGTAAGAAAATAATTTCAACCACAAAACAACAACCCTTAACATTTAGAACTGAATTATTTACACAATCTTACTTTTAGAACTTCTGAATGACTTAGACATCTCCATTGTATAGCAGTGTCTTTTTTGTTCTGAGTGGGGGGCATCTGTGGTTTCCCGTCCTCCTTCAGCTGCATTCCTCCCAACCACTGGATATTGGTCAAGGAATCATTTAGGGATTCTATAAAAAGAAATGGCAGTTTACTCTTAATGCTACATATTCAACAAGAAGAATATAAAGATGTATTAAACTAAACATAAATAACAAGTTATCATTTTCAGTATTAGTACCTTTCTCTGTAGACTCCTGTGAATCTGGTACATCATCTGCAGAGCCTTGAGAATTTGGAATTTCGACAGGAAAATCTTTATCCTCCACTTCCACTTTAACAACATTCTCATTGTCTTCTAACTTTGCATATTTTATCACAACATCGCCAACTTTCTCCTTTGAAAAAACTGAGGAAGAGCTACTTTCTGTCTGATTTGCAGGATAATTTTCTTTATTTGAAACTGTGGATGAATTTTTCACTTTGGTCTTATCACCTTGATGAAAATTTAAATTTTCCTGAGTCTTCACCGTCTCACTTGAGTGAATTGGACTGACACTGGCATTGCTAACCGCGGACCAGCCATGTGAGGCTTTATTGTTTGAGTTTGGTAAAAACTGAGCCACATCCAGTGGCTTTATATTTATACAGGAGTCAGATTTGGATACTGAAACAGTTTTTGTTTGCTGAGGATCAACCGGTAACACAAATTTCTGACCGTCTTTCGATTCCACCACATATCCTGATCTTGGTGTTGATGTTCTCTGTAAACTCATTGAACTTTGAACTCCTGGTGAAGGTGAAATTAAAGGCGATGACTGAAAAACAGCAACATTCTGTAATCCTGAGGACAGTGATGACATGGGTGATGGTTTCAGATATGAAGGGCTGTTTTGAAGGTGATTTCCTTTCGATGAGTCAGCGGATGATTTGTAGAAAATCTGCCTTGCTGTTTGATGATGAGCTGGCAGAAAAACAGAATTAGGTGTCTCAAAGGATTCTTTTGATAAGCAGCTACTATTAGCTGATAAGTATCCTGATTCTGCATGAGAGGAAGACTTGTTTGCTGAATTTATCTGCTCTTTTACTGCACCCTGTTTTGTAGTGGAAGTCTCAGCTAAGAGTCTTTGGGCATTTAGTCTCTGACTTATTTGCATTGCTTTCTGTAGAGAACTGGGTATTTTCAACCTGATTACTTTGGTTGCTTCTCCAAACCCCTCATCCTTTGCTTCCTCTGTATCATCTTTAAACACATTCTGGGAAGAACTAGAGCTGTCATAGTCATCAAATCCATTTGTCAAATTAAGCTTCAAACTATCATTTGAACAAAATGTTACCCTTGATCTTGACTTGTTCTTCAAGACACTGATTGCATCTTGTGCTCCTTGTTTTTGCCGATCTGAATGTTGTGATGAACTATCATTTGAACCCTGGTTTTCAGCATCTTTATTTAGGATCAAAACATAAGTGCTTGGTTGTCTCTCACTATGTCCTCTGGTCTTTTTACTCAAAGCAGATGTGTCAGGACATTTAAATGACATAAATCTCACATTCTCGGCAGAACCAGATCCATTTGACATTATGTTTAATCTGTAAAGAGAAGGATTACTTTATAAAATCTCTTACTTACATAAACTATCAACAAAACAAAATGTGGCTCTCACCATGTAAAATAACTCATACGTGCAAAAAATGAAATCAGAGCAAACTTGCTCCAGTGCAATTGGGGAGGAAATTCATAACATACTTTTAGAATTCAGGAGCACTATCTAGCCAAACATTCTGTGAACCAAGCTGACAAAATTCAGGAGGAGATAGTCCTCTCGTATTACATTATAACTGACATATTCTCCTAAATTGGCTCTTCTAATTAAATTCAATTATTTCTTTATGCCAGTTATTACTTTTTGAAGTCAATAATATACTCTATTAACATTCGGAATTACTCAATTAGACAACCTAAAATAGGGCTTTTCCCTAGACCTGTGTCAAGTATGCAGCAAGGTGCACCCACAGGATCCATAAATCACCGTAAACAAAAACCAGTAAGCTCTCCACACTCGTGAAGCATACTTGTTATCGTTTACATTGCTTTAAGGATAAAACTGATGACTTTTGCGGTAACGGGTTCGTTCGCCCGATCTACCTGTTCGCGGGAGTCCATTCGCGCAGAGTCCGTTCGCCCGAAATATTTTTTGCCCAATATCTTGTTCGCCCTATATGTGGTTCGCCCAATACTTATATATACTTGTATATATTAACTCATATGAATTAAAAATTAACATATATCAATATCATTTTCTTCTATTTATTTCCTTTACAAACTTGGGATATTTTTCTCAAATTCTGATAAACAATGTTTATTTAGTCTTGATTAATTTTTTATTTGATTCTAATGTTTTTTTAATGATAAAGTGTTTGCACTAGAGTAAATTAGATGATTAATATGATTAATATCAATGTTAATTAGGGGGGAGACACCCGTGTTATTTATAGAACTGTACAGCGGATGTTGAAGGTTTTACCTTTGAAGAATCTCCCTTTGATCTCAAAGAATGATTTAAAGGAATTAAACAAAATTTATCTATGTACTAAAAGTCCAAAGGTCTGTTAGGTCTTTGATAGGTCGTGTATTTAGTGTGACCATTTGTGACAGAATATGCATAATGTTTTATTTCGAATGTACCAAAGTTTTGGAAAGAAATTTGTTAGATTTTATTCTACATCAAATGAGGGCAAACCGACTCTGTGCGAACAAGTTTTAGGGCGAGCGGACTCTGGGCGAATGTGAAATTGGGCAAACGGGAAATCAGGCGAACAATTTTTAGGGCGAACGAACATGGAACTGACTTTTGCGGTGCACCCAATGTATTGTATTAGTGTATAATGAGTACATACTACATAGCTATTATTTTGGGATTGTAAAGGTCTAAATGCATAAGATGACGATCCTATACATGTTTATTAACGCCTATAAACAGGTTGGGCACACACCCCCAAATGGTCATTTAACCCCCGTTTGGTGGTCAATCGCCCATATCGGTGTCTTTTTTACCTACCAATTGGTGGTCTTTTTTATTCAAATCCAATTTTTATTTAAATAAAGCAAAAGTGCATTTACTTAGGCATTGGGGAATTTTAATTAACATATTCCTCGCAAATTTAATACAATTTAGTCAATTTTCCATGTGAAATTTCTTTGGAACTTCGTAAAAACGAAAGCCACAGTTGTTCATGACAGCCGAACTATTTGCTCAAACAATAAGAAAAATTATTTTGTTGTGTATAGTTCGATAAAAAATATATTTAAACAAGAGGTGTTAGTCTAGAGAAGTAACTTTTCAAATGATCTTTCAATCTGCATCTATATAAATCTCTATAAAATCCTGTTAAACACGAGCTCCTCGTATCTTATTCGTATGGTGGGCACTTATTGCTATAATATTCATTTTTTCTACATTTGAATGTAACATTTATTCTTTATTTCCATTTAGGATGAAGTTACGATTTCTGTGCGACCCTTTGTGGTTTAGTATGCATATCTATGATGTATCTACTATATTTATTAAATATTTTTGAATAAAAGATTTACAAAGTGACATTTGCAATTATTCTTGTTTTTATTCCAAGATTATAGTTTTCGACCGATTATTTTATCATGAATTCACTGCAAATCGTATTTTTGTAAAAAATAAAGCCATTGCATACGAAATAAAAGCGAATTCTTACCCTTCCTCTTATTTTACTTTTTGAAAATTAACACTAATGGGCCTCCGTAGTTAAATGAGTCATTTGACCCAAGTTCGGAAAAGATCGTCATTTTTAATTGGTTAAGATAATTGATCGGTTGCCCGGATGACAGAAATATGAAGTGATAAACACGATTGATAGGTGCAACTACTCGCGAGATGGAGGGAATTTTTCTTTTTAAGTTAAAACACAGAAACGTTACACTTCAAGTCTTGTTTACATAGGTGACGATTTTGTCAAATATTTGAACAACACTGCGCAAAAAAGTCCGTGTTGAAATTTTGATTTTTTTCGTTCAAAGTTTAGAAAAATATCTATATTTTATTCCCTGTGAGTTGAAATTATGCGCCATTTCACGTCATTCTAGAGAACTGAACATAACGATTTTTCTCTCCCATTTGGTAGGTAATAAAGACGCCGATATGGGCGATTAACCACCAAACGGGGGTTAAATGACCATTTGGGGGTGTGTGCCCAACCTGATAAAGAGTTTCAATGCACACAAATTAAACAATACATTTTGTTAATGAAGAAAATAAACCCTTGAACGAAAAATCCCTAACTCCTCCGTATGTATTTTTTATTTAAAGGGGGTAGAATGTTTCACTCTACGATTTCTTGTTGCTTAATGGTAAAATTTGATTTCTTGACCTTTTGATAAACATACGGCAAACAAAACATATTGTAAAATTATTATACCTAAAAAATATGCATTTCCATGGAAATTCCTCACAATTTTGTTAAAACTTGTTTGTTATACCAATTTTACAGTATTTTGTATTTCTTTCATAAGTGCATGACACCAATTATTGAGGAAAATGCACCACCGACAGGCAAGCCACTACGACCATTATCTTCCACCATATTTGAATTTCGATGCACAGAACATGTCAACCAATCAAATCGTAGAATAACAAGTCTCGCGAGACTAAAATATCATTAGAGATTTCTTAAAGTCGATTTCATTGGACACTCGAAAAAATCCACCCAATGAAAAACTGTTTAACATTCACCGAAAGTGAAAGTACAATAATCAGCTGGCTCGATGATTGAGTTGGTTGGGATGAAATAAGAACTTGCGTGTCATCTTAATTACACAGAAATAAAAACCGTGTTAAGTGCCTTATTCGAAAATTTTGGTATATTCAAAGAGAGCTCTCGAGATAAACTAAAAAAGAATTGGAAAACATAGCTTAATGATAAAAAAAAAAATTAGTCAAAAAAGTTAAAGAATATTCATCTGGTTCATCAGGCGCTCTAAGTTGGTTTCTGATGGAATGCTCCCTACCTATTATCTATATAGGTGACAAGCTTAGACAATGCAGTTTCTAAGGTGAGTGAACATTACTTTACTTATTTCTAGTTTCGTAGCTCATTTGGGCAAGGGATCTTTGAAATGAGTGAGATTAATTCATTTGTTCGTCTATTGTATATGCTCTGAATAAAACTTGAATATATTCAACACCTTCAGGATTAAAGAACTTTTTTCAACTAAACTCTTTCAAGTATACCAACTATTAAAATATGAAAAGTTATTTCGATGATCCTTCCTGAACACTGATTCTACTAGTCTTTCACAATATTCAGCAATCAATATGTGTCCATCCCTGATTCAATTCTGTTCAAATCTATAGACAAAGCATTGGAGACAATTGTCAGATATAGTGAAAATCAAACTGTTAAAATGAGATTTTCTGAATCCAGTGCAACTAGTCTTCTTAATCGTCTAAAAACATCCCATAGATTCATGTCAGGGTGACCATTCAGTTATGAATGAATAATTTTCATATATGTGCCAGCATTTTCACATGCCCAGTAAGTACTGTAGAGAAACATCAGTTCAAAATGGCACCTAAAAAGTGTTTCGAAAGGCCAGCCCTTTTGTATTTATTTTGTCTTGTCATGCTAAATGCTAATGACTGCCACCCTAATCAGGAGTTGACCACCAAAATTTCCATGCCAAATATGTGGTAAAGCCTGTAAATGGTCTAAAGATGTACACTCCATAGCATGTAACAACTGCGAATTATGGTTCCACAGGAAATGTCTTAACATGAACACCTGTATTTATGAAGCTTTTAGTAAAACAGACGTAAGTTGGTACTGTTGCCAATGTGGGCTCCCAAATTTCAACACTAGCCTCTTCGAGGACATAGATTTTGCCAGCATGGAAAATAGCTGTGGCTTTGCCGTCACACTCATCACATATTTCCATAGCCTCTGACTTTGACCCTGACACAGTTGGACCACCCCAACACACGTCATCACCACAAGCTTCTAACAGAGCCATCAAGCACGACTTTGACAAAAGAAAGTTGTGCGTCATAGTCATCAACTTCCAAAGCATTAAAGCCAAAAAAGAGTCTCTTTGGAATCTACTATCGGATACTGATCCTGACATCATCATCGCCACAGAGACCTGGTTACACGAGGGAATTATGGAAAAGGAAGTTCTCCCGGATAATTACCAGTTCCTTGCCAGGAAGGATAAATTTAGGCGACCCACATGGAGGTGTATATCATAGCCAAATCCAACATTGCTGGGGTCCAGGTAATACAGATACCACCATTTGAATTTACAGCAGCTGCGATCACCTGTAAGCACAGTAAAGACCCATTGATCATTGGTTCAATTTACCGGCCACCAAGCAGTAAGATGGAATACATAGAGGAATTGTGTTCAGCTGTCAAGAACCTTGCCAGGAAATATCAAGGTTCAGTCATATGGATTGGAGGCGATGCCAACCTTTACGATATCGACTGGAAGTCTTCCAGCACTTCTACCCAACATAACCCAGCAGGTATCAACACCACCTTTATCAACACTGTGTTTGACATTGGAGGCGAAATGGTAGACTTTCCTACCAGAGGTACCAACACCTTAGACGTCTTCATCACAAATCGCCCCTCCTTATTAAACAGGTGCATACCTTGCCCGGGCCTTAGTGACCATGACATGATCATGATCGACACAAACATAGTGCCTTCCAGACAGAAACCGGTCAGACGCCTCATCCACTTATGGAAGAAAGCAAACACAACGAAGATGGCAGAAGACCTTGACAGCGACCTGGCACACCTCCTTGATGGCTCTACACATGACACCCCCATAAATGACCTTTGGATCACCTTCAAGACAGTCTGCCTCAACACCATCAGGAAGCATTTTACCAACCAAGTGTGACTTCAAGGTAGATTTAACCAGCCATGGTGTAACAGAAAGATCAAGCATCTGTCAAGACGAAAACGAAGAGCTTACAACACATATAAAAGATCAGGCAAGGATAAGGATCGACAGAGATACAGGCGTGAAAATCAACCCAACATGAATGCAAAAGTGCCTATAACTCGTACGTATCAGACATGGTGCAAGAGGATTCCAACAGTAAGAAACTACTCCTTCATTAAGGGTAAGAAGTGTGACAGTGCTGGGATCGCTCCACTGCCTCTCTATCGGAAACCTTCATGGAGATCCACAAACTAAAGCCTCTCTCCTGAACCAACAAGAGTCAGTGTTCACCACAGAGGATACATCCAATATTCCATCCCTAGGCACTGTTCCACCCCATCGGCACCTGACATTAGAGTCACAGAGAAGGGCGTAGTGGCCGACACACCTGCAAGGACTCAACCCCATAAGGCGACTGGACCGGATGAGATCTCCACTAATTTCTAAAAGAGATGGCTCACCCTGTTACACCAGCACTCACCAAGATTTTTAGGCATCCATTGACCAAGGTCAAACACACTGAGGACTTTCAACAAAAGAGAAAGGTGGCCTATATTGCAAGAAGGGTGATAAAAGCAAGCCTGCAAACTATCGTCCTGTGTCCCTGACCTCTGTGTGTTGCAAGGTAATAGAGCACATCATCCACAGCCACCTGATGAATTTCTTCGAGCATCACAGTATCCTAACCGACTACCAGCATGGGTTCAGGAAGAAGCGATCCTGTGAGTCCCAACTAATAACAACAATCCAGGACCTCGCTATGAGTTTGAAAACAACACCCAGGTCGATGCAGTGCTACTGGACTTTTCCAAAGCATTTGACAAGGTCCCACATGAGAGATTGCTAGCCAAACTAGACCACTACGGGGTACAAGGCAGCCTACTCAATTGGATTAGGAGTTTCTTGTCCGGACGAACACAAAAGGTATTGGTCGAGGGCCATTTTTCACCAACCGCACCGGTAACATCTGGAGTGAAAAAAGGAACAGTCCTCGGCCCACTGCTATTCCTGACATACATAAATGATTTACCCTCCAGAGTGAGGTCCAAGGCCAGGTTATTCGCGGACGACTGCCTTCTGTATAGGACCATCACTACAGAGGCGGATACCAGACAACTCCAGACGGACCTTGACAACCTCCAAGATTGGGAAACAAACTGGCTAATGCATTTCAACCCAGACAAGTGTGAGGTTATCCGTATCACCACCAAACGGAAGCAACGCATAACCCCATATTACATCCATGGGAAGGAGCTAGCCACTACCACCAAGGCCAAGTACCTAGGGGTCAACATCTCCAACAACCTATAGTGGAACCATCATATTGATAGTGTATGTAAGAAGGCAAACAACACCACTGCCTTCTTAAGGAGGAACCTCTAGTCCTGTCCCAGCAACATCAAGGACAAGTGTTACAAGACATTTTTTAGACCCCAGGTAATATGCATCCACTGTCTGGGACCCTCACACAAAGAAAAACATCGAAAAACTAGAAGCTGTGCAAAGAAGGGCAGCTAGGTTCGTGACCAATAACTACAACACCACCAGTAGTGTCACAACGATGATCGACAGGCTAGAATGGGAAAGTCTACAACAACGCAGAATTAAAGCAAAGGCTATTATGATGTACCGTGTTGTCCATTCCCTTGTTGCCATAGACCTGCCTCCCCAATTCTGCCAAACAGGAGCAGCCACCAGGGGACACCAACACCGGTACAGGATCCCATTCTGCCGTACCAACGTCTACAAGGAATCGTTCTTTCCTACTACCATCAGGATATGGAACCAGCTGCCAGAAGACACCATCACGGCCATGTCCCTGGAGTCCTTTAAGACCAGGATTCAGGGATATAAAGCACCGTAAACCAAGCAGGACATGTTTTTATCAGTTTTTAATATTGTGGACTCCCCCTCACGTACACGCTTTTAAACATAGTGAGAATATGCCGCAGCAGCGGCCCTTCACTTTACCGGAAGAAGAAAGAAGATGATTTATGAATCTAATTTTCATTAGATTGCACTCTGTCATGCATAATTTTGTTTACTATTAAACTCCTGAGCATTTAGGTTTGCCTGTAAAGAGTAACGCATTAGAACTACAAGGAAAGAATTCATTGATTAATCAAATAGTTGAAGTCAATAATTTTTTTTTTCATTTATTTCATTTATTTATTAATTGAAAGAGTGAATTAGACATGTTAGAAAAGTTTTATGGACTTCTTTATTTTAGATAGTGCCAAAAGGTTTACATGATTTTTTAAAAAATTAACTGTATAGTTCAGATTTCTTGATATCAACAAGATTCAAGGTTTGCATTCCATTCTTTGAAGAAACCAACATTTTATTATAGTCTTGGTCTTTGTGTTTTCTTTCAGTTTTTGATCTGTATGAAAAGAAATATGCCAAGAAGGAGAAAGAAATCATCTCATCACAAAGCTCCATTAGTATTTACTGAAAGTCCTGTAAACAAACAGAGAAATGTGCCAACCCCTGTCTTTTGTGCTCAGCACCCAATAACTGTAGGGCAGCACAGCACAAGTAATGTTTCTTGGGTAAGTGAGATCTAACTGTAGTTCTTGTTTTTATCTCTAGAGAAATAAATTTATTAAAATTTATATACATGTTTATATGAATTGTTACTTAATAAACTTCAGATTTGATGATTAACAATGTTCTGTCAATCTACACAGATAGGACTAGATATTTTCCCAGAATTTTGCTAGATATTTCCTATTCTCAAATCTCAATTTGCTTTAATAACACATGAATAAATGAATAGTTTAAAATGAATAGTCCAAGAATTCTTTGGCTTAAGTTTGTAAGATGTTTACAATGAGCTAATTTGTCAAACTCTAAAATTTGATTTATTCAAGAAAGAAAACTTAATTCAACTTGTTTTGAAAAAAGAATTTTAGTATGAATCATTGGAAATTTAAACACTACTTTGTATTTTAGGTATCTCCTCAGTTTAATGGTGTTCCAGGAACAGTAAGAGGGCAAAGGAGGGCCCGCAGGAGAAGAATTTCACCCCCATCTTTACTTGACAACAAAGCTCTGTGCACTTGTCAGGGCAGGAGTAATTCTAAATCACCCGGATTCACCAGACTTAAGAAAAAGACAAAATTTGCTTCCCTTCAGTTTGTAGGGGAGAAAACTCCTCCAGTCACAGTCATAGAGGATGTCAATTTTACCGACTGTGAGGATCAAAGTGTGGCATTCAAGGAAAATTCACCCGAAAAGGGAGCCAGGAAAGAAATTTCATTTTCACATAGAAAGAGCAATAAGAAAAAGGAAAATATGGATCCACTTTTACAAAGGAGTGGTGAGTGTGAATTTATGGCAAACCCAGGAGTGATTAAAACTCCAGAACTAGGAGAAGTGCATTCTGGGACACCTGAAGTAGATTCACCTACAACACCTGTAAAAAGATTGTTCAGCGGATCATCTCCTGCCTCTCTATCAAACTCTCACAATCAAAAACAGAGTAAGAAAAGAGGGAGGCTAAAAGAACAGCTTAAACAGAACTTAGTGGAAATGTCCAGCATTTGTACCCCAGACAGAGGGGCACCACCAGAAGTGTTAGTGGCCGACACACCTGAGGCAGAATATGGACTAAACACACGGGTTCGAAGGTTAAGGAGGAGAAACATTCATAATATTTAAAAGTATTTATTGATGATCAAGCTCAAAAATTAGATGTGTAAACTGATATTTTACTTACCATAAATCTATGTACAACAAAACACTGATACTTTCACACAAAAGAGAAAGGTGGCCATCACTTGCAAGCAGTGTTCTATGTAAAATTTGAATAATATTTCACTTAGAATAAAAGCTCCAAACTCTATACGTTACAGTTTCTTCAGGTACACCTTGAAAAAATTCGGGCAAACCATAGACATTGAAAGCAAAGTGAAAGGGGGGTGTTAATTGAAAGGGGGGATAAACCAAGAAAATTCAAGATGTGTTTGTGAAACACTGAAGGCAAAGGTTAAATTTTTTCAAATGTAAATCAAACATGATGATACCCGCAAAGATAGACATAATATAGGCAATGAAAATTGGGGCGTAGGTTTAGACCCCTACCTACCTACCTAGTCCTTTTTTGCACCCGGAGGCACATAGGGCAAGGACTAGGGATTTCCATTCCTCTCTATTCTTTGCGATCTTCTCCACCTCTCCCCAGGTGAGATTTATCTCCTTTAGTTCTTTCTCCACTGTTCGCCTCCATGTTGTTTTTGGTCGGCCTTTCCTTCTCTTCCCTTCTGGGGTCCATAGACCCCTACTTTCCACAAACATGTTGCAGTTTAGGTTACAAAAGGGTAAATATGAGCATTTGGAAGGAAAATTTGGTACTGAAAAAAGGTAGAACCCCTAGGGTCAAAGTTGTTGGTATCCAATGAAAGATCTTGTCACAGGGATTACATATAAGAAGTATGAAAGCTCTAGTTCTTTCTGTTCAAAAGTTATGGCCAAGGTTAAAGTTTTTAAAACGTAGGTCAATCTCCAAGGTCAAGGTCAAAGTTGTTATCCAATGGTATCCAATGAAAAGTCTTGTCAAAAAGAACACATATGTGAGTAATGAAAGTTCTAGCTCTTATCATTCAAAAGTTATGACCAAGGATAAAGTTTTTTAAAAGTATGTCAAACTCTGAGATCAAGGTCAAAGATCAAGATTCTTGCTTTCCAATGAAAGTTCTTTTGAAAAGGATTACATATGTCAAGTATAAAGCCCTAGCCCTTATCCTTAAAAAGTCATGGCAAAGTTTAAAGTTTTTTTTTAAAGTAATTCAATCTTCAAGGTCTAAGGGTCAAGTTGTTGGTATTCAATGAAAGGTCTTGTCACAAAGAATACATATGTGAGCAATAAAAGTCATAGCCCCTACTGTTCAAAAGTTATTGCCAAGGTTAAAGATTTTAAAAGTAGGTCAATCTCAAAGGTCAGGTCAAGAGGTCAAAGTTGTTGCTATCCAATGATAGGTCTTGTCACGAGGATTACATATTTCAAGTAGGAAAGTCCTAGTCCTTACCCTTCAAAAGTTATGGCCAAGATTAAACTTTTTTTTAAGTAGTTCAAGGTCAAAAGGTCAAGGTTGTTGGTATCCAATGAAAGGTTTTGTCACAAGGATTACATATGTGAAGTATCAAAGTCCTAGCCTTTATCGCTCAATAGTTATGGCCAATGTTAAAGTTTGGAATTTTGTCAAACTCCAAGGTCAGGGGATCATATTTGTATGTCTTGTGACAACGAATACACATGTGAAATATGAAAGCTATAGTCCCACCCAGTCAAAAGTTATTGGCAGGATAAAGTTTTTGCGGACAAACAGACAGACAACTACATAGACAGACGGACCGAGGGAGGCGAAAAACTATATACATAAAAGTGAGGAAGTCTCCTAGCCCCTCCGATTCTGACGTCTATGCTAACAAGGAATGCAAAATGCATGGCTAGATTGAGCCCCAAATGTTTATCATTTATAAGTTCACTTTGTGAATTAATTATGTTAAACAAAGTTCCAATAATTAGCAGAAATGAAATTGTGACAAAATTTGATTTGTATGGAAATATTTTCACAACAAAAATGTTACTATGAAGAAAGCTCAGGTTTTGGGGATTTAAAATAAAGCTATGAAAATCCTGAGGAGCGCTTTTCTCTAAGGAACTGACGCACTATTATAAAATCATGCAGCTCATATCAAGGAATGGTATTTTTGATTATTTAATAGGATACTTGATACTAACATGAACAAAAATTTTATGTGGGGATTGATATATATTTTTGGATTGATTATGATTAAAAAAAGACACAAATGAAATATATAAAGATATCTTAAGATTTTCTAACTTTTCTTGGATGCTCTAAGATACGTGTCTACAATGTTAGCTTTCTTGATAAATCTGTACAAAATTTTGCTCAACTTTTTAACTTTATGACATCTTATAAAATTATCCCACTATAGGTCGTAAACTTTGTTAAGTTTACTTGAAACAGGCACGTAGCAACACTTTACTTCCCAACATTACTTATACTATAGGAAATGATCATTGAAAGGCTGGTTGCCCCCCCCCCCCTCAAACTTTTTGTGATATAAGGAAAATGTTGGCTCCTAACCCCCCCCCCCCCCACACACACACACACACTCTCACACACACGAAATAGGATTTTCGACTTTGGGGAACTTCCTTTTTTTTTTCTTTTTTTTTTTTGCTTGTCAACTTTTTCAGGTAAGTAATTTTTTTTTTCTCTGGCTGACCCCCAACTTTCAAAAACGATGCTACGTGGCTGTGAAATCTATGAGAAATATTGCTCTATTGATTTCTGAAAAAAGTTTGTTTTTGATAAATTGCAATTGTGAATTAAAGTGTACCTCACATATATTGTATTTCTGGGGGAAAAAAACAAATAGCCATTGGTAAAATTTAAAAAATGGACCATCTTTCTATTTTCTTTCTTTTTTTTTCTTTTTTTTTTTTGCTCTCTTTGGTGTGTGCATACCATTTCATATTCTCTATTGAGAAATTGATGGCTCATTTTCAAGCTTTATTTGGCGTATCTGAGCTAAAAAAATAAAAATATTACATTAAGTGTAGATAAAGATGATATTTGCTATCTAATTTCAAATTAATTTTTCACGGATTTTGAACTTAAATATCTCCACGTTTCTGTAGATTAAATTGACCCAATACATAGAATTCCCTGATTTTTTTTCCACACAATATATGATGAAGACATTTGCCCACACATATATATATATATGCTACCTTATTTAATAAGGATAAGGTACGTAGAAATAATTGAATTTTTAATTAATTCAGCATTAGCACAATAAAATACTTTTAAAGAAAGATGTGATATCAAAGGATTATACTTGTTTCTGTAATATTTTTTTTCCAACATGCAGTAATTAACAAGAATGATAACTTAAGGTACTCCGATTCTCAGGTTCTGAAATCAAGCATTGACTTATTGAAAATGCTCACAAAATTGCCTCTGAATTTTCAAAATAACGTGTTTTTACCCATAATTATTCTTCAAACTTCTTCTTTCAAGTTTATCATATTATATAGAGAAAATTAGTAAATCTCAAATATATTTTCAGGAATTGCGAATAAAAACACCTGCTATGTATTTTCTAATTCAAATTTGATAAATTAACACATTTTGAAAATAAAAATCTTAGGTATCCAGGCTTTAGAAGGAATTCCACAATTTTTATACATATAATGTACTTTAATTTATATTATTAACTTCGATCATTTTTTAAAAAATGCAAAGTGTATAAAGGTTCTCTTGTCATTGCAAAGCTCCATAAATCACTTCTAATTTCATATCATGCTAATAAACATCAAAGGTAAAATTAAAATAAACATCAGTTTCTTGATATATATGTAATTTCAAAATGCTTTTACGGGGTAAAATTTCAACTTTTAATTAGACCTTTCTGAGAACTTCAAAAAACCTTGAAGCACATGGAGAGGTATATAATGAAAATTGTTGCATGAAAAGATTTAATTTTCAAGCTTCATTTTGAGACTTTTTGAATTAAATTATAAATTAAGGAGTTGCCCTTTCTGGCTGAGGATCGGAGTCCCTTAATTATGATCAAAGCACTTGAAAAAAATTAATTTCATTATAATATCTAGGCTATACTATGCAACAAAATATGTCATGTTATATTCTGTCATTGATGAGGCATACCATGTTGCCCCCCCCCCCCCCCCCCCTTACTTGACATTTAGTCAATCGATAGAGGGCGTTGAGTTGTGCTAAAAATAGCACCACGTAAACAGTGTAAGATTTATTTGCCACAAAGAATGCAAAACATTGTCTTGTCACATCCAATATTCATAACAGGTTTTTGTCTAATTATGTCATCATCCCGTTTCCATGTAAACAATGAGGCTTTTAAATATCCAGGATATTATTGTAGTACATCTTATGTGACCTTCACCTTGATAAATTAACTGGTTCGATACTATCTAGGACGTTAACTTTATATTTAGAACTGTGCGACATTAAGGTTGTAAACAATGGTGCGAGCGTGGTACATGGACGAGGCGGAGGATGACCAGAGGAAACCCCACATGACGGACCCCCCACAGTTTGTCAGCATGGACCAGCTGAAGGATTTGGGGGTCTTGTACTTCGAGGTAAAATAAAAAAAAGAAGACGACTGCATGGCTAGTTTGGTGATAATCGTAATTTAGTAAATTAATAATTAATTACACAATGACTGCTACATTTTTGTTTAGCTATACATAGTTTTAAAACCAAGTAAATATTAATAATTAAAGGGAGGGGTTCAACTCACACTCTTCCACAAATTAACACATTTCCAGAAACCTGCATGGTGACAACCCCATAAAACATTTTCTCTGAAAACCTACACACAGCAGACAAACTGAATGCATGACATTGTGACAAGGATGTGTGTTTTTATAACTTTTGATCAAGGGTCTATTGCTAGGTATACTCTTTGGGCGGGGGGTTAAATATATTGCAACAGGCGGGAATGATTGTTGTCCAGACTGGGACTTGAACCTGCGACCTCCTGCTAACCATGGGGGTACTCTAACCACTGAGTTACCCAATCCTGTTACACTCACCTCCACCCCCACCCCCCACCCCACATTTTTTTTGAGGAAATTGACAAACCAAGGTTAAAATACATGGAAAATTAGTGACGAGGGCCTCCAACACTATTGATATATCCATGGTATTTGAGATGTCAATGTGTAAAGATCAACTGTATAATTAAAATGATTGATATCAATCTCTCATAGTCTTCATTAACAAGAAACCATCAAACAATAAGGTTTCTTTAAAAAGAAAGGTGCACTTGATTTCTTGTTTAGAGAGTTACAGTCACAGGAAAAGCCTTTTTACTTGGATTTCCCATAATACTGCACAAATGAACTTCGTTTATGCAGCATTATTGGAAGGCCAGAGAAACAAGCTATCACAGGTGTATAATATTAAGCTGGTTATATGTTTGAGAACTCATGATACCCATATATCATCAAAGTCCATGGGCCTCTTGCTAAGAAATTAAACTTTGATATTGTAAATCTTTTTCACAAAATAAATTTGAGCATTTTTTTTATTTATCAGATAAGTTCAGATCCTGCCAAAGCTGAGAAGGAAGTGAACAAGCTTCGAAGTGACCGTGGCTACACTTATAAAGACATGATTACATGCAGCAGGGAAAAACTCCCAAACTATGAGGAAAAGGTGAGATAATTGAATATGCATTCAAATTTGGTGTACTTAGAGCTACTCCCTGTCTCACTCCCTAGTTTTATTATCTGGGCAAGAAGGTAAGGGACACATGGTTGACTGTAGAGAACTAGAATGTCAGGACAAGAAAGCAAAGATAAGGGGACTAAATCATATGGGTGTTGATAATCTTGGCTCTCTTTACATGGCAACTTTTCTCTTTGCTCTCTTCAGACTGCTGTCTGTGTTGAATTCTCACTTACCTTAATATTTTTGTATCCTTTATTGGTTGCCACCTTCTTTTCTCAAGCAGAAATTGTGATGGAACAAGAACATATGATAAATACCATGACTTTTTGTTTGGCATCTGAATAAAACTATTTAGTAAATGATACACTTTTGAAAAGTTCCAGCTGATGATTCATTTAATTGCTTTGGCTTTGGTCAGTAAGATACAGGTTTGAATTGTAGCTGAAGATATTTTTTGAGGAGCACCTCCACACAGATGAGGAAATACGCTACATTACAGAAGGTAGTGGCTACTTTGATGTCAGAGATAAAAACAACAAGTGGATCAGAATTGAAGTCCTCCCAAATGATCTGATCATTCTCCCAGCAGGCATCTACCACAGGTTTACACTGGACGAACAGGTGAGATAGCAAATGTTTGGTTATACTCATCTCCTTCCACAGCAACCCCCCCCCCCCAAAAAAATAAATAAAACATAGGTAATCAAAGACAAGAAAACTCACCTTGACAAATGGTGTCCCTAAATAAGGCTAATCTCACACCAAAATTTGTTCTTGAGCATCACAAGATCAAATTCCATGCAAAACTTAAACATGTTTACTTATCCAGAAAATGTAGGTCAGATCCAATATCTGAAGCAAGTCTTTTAGTGTCTACTTCTAGCTGAATCATTAATGCAAGTTTGATCATAACAGGCATTTCGTTATAGAGCTATTCTAAAATATTGCTCTGGTCACTCATCTAGAAAAATGTTGATCAGATGTGTTAGTGTCCATCAATCATGAATGTTTGGCCCAGATATGGCTTATAGTTACATTAGAAAGAACCTGCTCCCAAAACTTTAACCTGGTCACTCATCTGGGAAATATAAATCAGTCAGATCAAGCATCTGAAGCAGGTTGGTTATTGTTCATTCCTGGATGCACCATCCTTGCATTGAAGTTTGGTTCAGGTAGGGCTTATAATTACTTAGGAATGGACCTGTTCCCAAAACTTAACCTGGTCACATCTAGAAAATGTAGGTCAGATTCTGGTATTGTCCATCTCTAGATGCATTATTTTAATCAGTAGGGGACATTAAAAAGATAGAAGGGGTTTGGGGTTCCTCCCTTAATAACGGGGGGATTAAGTCATTATATTTCCCAGATCTTGGGTCTTAGGGACAACCCTATGAATATACTGTAAGTGTATATGTATGTTTTCTCAAAAAGTAACAGATTTGCATTGTTGTGTGTGAATTATGTTGTCAATATTTCCATTGCTTGGTTTAAACACTTAATTTTAGGTAATAATTAACACCAATGCTATCAATTTACATGTTTTATTTGTAGTTTATCTTTCCTTAATCAATGCATATATATTTGTGAATTGTAGAACTATATCCAGGCTCATCGATTTTTTGTTGGAGAGCCAGTATGGACACCACACAACAGGCCCGCTGATGACATGGAAGCTCGTAAAACGTATCTGCAAAAATTCAATGTGGCCGCTTAAAAAAAGTTATAAATAAAAGTTCAAAGTTATAAAAACCATGCTTTGACATATTTATTTGTTTGAACAGAAAGTGTGTTTCTTTGTATTACTTCGGTATGCAGTAGGAATATAGTTACTAATAAGGCCATAATAAATAAATTGCTAGATTCTCATCCGAATTTTTTTTAAAAATCGAGGCGGGCGGGCGGCTTTTATTTTATATTTTTGCAATTTTGCAGATTTTTTATAGACCTGGTCAATCGGTGTAATTTTATCTACAATACCCAAATAAAAGTCATAGTAAAGGTTCAATTATCTCTTACTTCACATCATCACCAATCTTTTTTCAACCATTAACCCTTGTTTAAAATATATAAGGCATGTATTACAGCAATTACAATCTTTTCAGCTGTCAAAATCATGTCGACTTTCGCGGGATTTAAAACGAAAGTAGAATGGTAGATGAATACCGATCCCGATCAGAATTAAGACGAAGAAAAACAGAAATTAAAAAAATCGAGGTGGGGGTATAAAATCGGGGCGGGCGGGGATGAGAATCTCGGAATATTTTTATTATGGCCCAATGTCGAAAAACTGGATATACCATAACCATACTAATACATGTGTATTGCAATGATACTATTAGAATTTGAGAAAAAAATGTGCAATTGAGTTCATTGCAGATGTATTTACCAATTTATTTTATGCATATTTTTAAACCTTTGATTTGCTTACCAATTTGCTGATATTAGTTTTAAAATATTTCATTAGTGGAAATGAATTGGATAGGGCATCAAGCTTTGATATTTTGTAAACATTAAGTGCCATAAAACTGTGCATGGCATGACCATGACATGTTTGGACATATGAAATTGATAAATATTTATAATATGCATATTGTTTATGAAAGTGCAGTCCAAATTTGTATATGCAGTGCTGATTCAGAAATACATTATATATTATTGTAAGTCCAATTTCCATAGACTTATTTGGTGCAATATGTTTTATTTGGAATGTAATGCATAAAACTAGTTCGTTTTTTGTTTTTCTAAGCTTTTAAAGATATCTTTTTGCCACAAAAAATGGGTATAATCTGCTGGGATATTATATTAAGTGATTTTCAGAATACATGTATATTTTAATTATTTCAACATCTGTAACTAAATGGAAATACAAAATGCCAAAAAATGGTTTGTTTTTTTTTTGCTTTTGAGCTAGCATGATAGAATTTTAAGCACCATACAGTAGTGTGTTGTGGCATTTAAAATGCTTGCTTATAACACCTTTACAATATTTCACCAAAGAAGATCATTTTCTGATCACAAAAGGAAAGGAAAATGCACAATGTAAACCGAGAAGATTGAAAAGTAAAACATTCACAAAATATAAGTCCTGCACTTGAAACATTTAAATATCCTTCGCATAACGATTATTACTTTAATACTAAACTTACGATAGCACATAGATGTACCATATAACTTATGATATGTTACATGCTATTGGAAGTTGATTATAGTCTTTACGAGGAGGAAATGGGGACGAGGATATTCAGAAAGGTATTAAACATTACTTTATAGTCATTATTGTATGCATGTGTAACAAGAGTTCAAAGAGGTTGCTGTATGTGTTGTATATAGTGAGGCCACACTCCTACTAGCTATAATTAAGCACTATCTAGTGGTTAATCCTTTAGCTCGGTTGGTAGAGAGTTGGATTTTAAATCTGAGGGTTGTAGGTTCCATCAGGGACCTATATACTATTATATAATAGGGACTTATAGTATATAATTTTAAGTCCCTGGTCGAGAATAGTGAGAAAATGGTCACCCAATCACACCAGTATTACAAACATTACAATATCGGTCATATATTGTGAAATATATGAACTGTCTATTGGAAGTTTATGTGCTTGCAATACAATAGAATATATTTGAGTCAATGAATAGAATACTGTAGATGCGCTGTAGGCACCTACATACACAAAGTATATCCCTCAAAAGATTGATTGATTGTATATTGTTTAACGTCCCTCTCCAGAATATTTCACTGATATGGAGACATCACCATTGCCGGTGAAGGGCTGCAAATTTAGGCCTATGCTCGGCACTTAGGGCCATTGAGCACTCTAGGGATGAATTTTAAGTGAAAATATCAACATTTGAAATATCGTGCCACACCTGCTGTGAACACGGGGCATCAAAGAGTTTTTCTAAAAGTTTACATGGGTTATCAAATCCAATAATTCTTTTCATTTTAAAACAGGCCTTTTCAATAAGCACAGCTGTTGCTAAAGTCGCCTTTTACGACATAAAGCTAAAAGGGGGTATCTTGAGGTACAATTTGTATTGCATTACCATTAAAACTAAATTCATTTCAACGAGGCTCCCATAATGTGTCAAAAGAAGTGAAAGGAAGCTAAACTCAAAAGAGCGCAAAAAAAGTAAAATGTTTAACTTGGGCAAAAACATTAGAACTTTACATCTGTAGAAAATTATATGTACATTCAACAACAAAATTATCGCCTAAATAGGTAACATTTAACATCTCTCAAAATAAAACACGACCATATAGTACTTGAAAAGCATAGGTTACTATTCAATCATGAATTGAAACGAAAAGCCGTGGACTGAAATGATATGGACACATATTTTTAGGAAACCGGAAGACCGCTTAAAGTCTTAACAAAAATATAAGAAGTTTGGAGTATTGTAATGATATCTCTCTTGAGCTCTCTCTTTATTGTAATAAATTCAATACTTTATTGTGGGTATATTTTTTATAACAGATAGTCAACTTAATTCTATTTATTCATATAAGTATTTAATTCTATGATATAAGCGAACAAGATGGCCGAAGGAGATGAAGGAGGTTGTCATTTGACTCTGATTTGATAATTTATTGACACCTGCAGCCTAAAATGACGTTTATTTTTTTATTTTCCAAAACAATTTTTGTTTATAAATTTATTTACTAAAGTTTCTCCTTTATTTAGTTTTGTGATTATCATAACAATTTCAACATAACCTGATATAAACACGTCATTTTAAACAGGGCTGTCATAATTTCAGGGTATATGATCAGGGACCTATATACTTAATAAAATATATGTCCCTGATATGATGTGTGTTTTTGCAACAAATGCACATCGATTACCTCCTCTTTTTAAAAATGAAATAATGAAATCATGCAAAACCAGATTTATGCCTAAGAAGGTGGAAAATTTGAATATTTTAGCTGATTATTTAAATTCAGAAGTCTGTTCTTTGCATTCCTTCTTAGCTGCTTCATAAAGCACTTTCAGATCTAGTTTACTAATTGACATCACCATAAAGCTTTAGCATTATTAAACTTTGATGGAACGAATTATAAGCATCAGTTTAAAAGAATCAGGGTAAATATAGATAAAATGTTCTATCGTTAAAATGATATACATGTATGTCCTACATACCCGGTTTAACGATAGAATTCGTTCCGTGTATTCACTATGTAGCAAAATAAACATGAGCGATAACTCGAACCAGAGACCTATATACTAATGGGATAGGCAACTCCTTCATGGCCATGTTTATTTACCCAAAACATCGAGCACCACACTACAAGTTTTTCAAACTACTTTTATTCTCAGTTAAAATCCTGTTTTCTGATTAATGTTATTTATTCCTTTTATGTATTGGAATGGATTTTTAATATTTATTTAAAGCATAAATTATAATTTAAATATAAAGCAAACAAACACCAGAATTAGCGATTCCTCAGAAATATGGCTGATCAGGGGCATGTGGTGATTTTGAATAAAACGAAATAACAACTAAGATTAGGAGTATAATCAGTCCTAAAAACAAATCTGGAATGATTTTAAATTTTTGGTAGATATTATAATTAAAGGTTTTGATCTGAAATATCTCATAGTATAAGTGATATAATTAGTTAAAGCTGACTTACTAAATTCAACGACTTACGAGATATCGCGAGAGATGTCTATTTCGATAGTATAATTAGGTCCCTATTTCGCTAGTATATAGGTCCCTGCTCAAACTCAGTGCATTTACTAAGAACAATCCAGAGATGTCCGAATGCAAACATAACACGTAAATTTGAAGCAAGAAAAAACGTTGAGAAAATTAGTTGAATTTCCGCCTTATTTAGATTATATTTTAGGTTAAAGAAATATGCAACCTGAAAAAGGTTTGTTATTTTTAATTTTGAAATTATTTCCAGTGCAAATCCTTGTGTAATATTCTTCAAATTCGTTTCGGAGCAATTCTGCAATTTTTTGCTACATTGCAAGTATATGAGTATTCTAACTGTGGTGAGGGCTTGTCCCAAGACACAGTTAGATTATTTTAACTTGAGTAAAATTTTAAAAAGAGCCGTGAGATGCAAGATTTGTATAAACAAACTCAGAAAAGTATTATTTAATTATTTTTGTTTTTTAATTGCTATATGCTGTAAACCAACTTTTATTCGCGTGCAAGAAATATTCGCAAGTTTCACGATCTTCTTTAAGTCGCAAATATTAATTGCCCCGCACAATTTATTTTCCTTTGTTTTTGTAGGAAATGCTTCTTCAGTCATGAAAATTAATTGTCGCGGATTGATTTTAAACTGACGAATCGCGAATAAAACATGACGCGAATAATTGTTGGTTTACAATATAATATCCTAAAATTTTATTTCATTCATGAACTTATTTGATATATTTGTTTGCTCTCAATTAAAACGAAAATGTGTACATGAAAATTAACTATGTTGTACTTTAAATTTATTTATGATATACCAGGTATATGTCTTACATTGTTAAATTCAGATATAAATAATGATGGCAGTCGAAAAAAGCGACATGGAATGCTTAAAATGTACTACGGGATGGAGGAAGGCACTCCTGGATCCCCCACTATAGATCCCTGTGATATCAATGGAGCACATTTCAACCCAGACATGTATCTCTCCAAGCTAATAAAAGAGAAATCTCTGACAGAGTTAATGGATGAGGAGGCAAAAACAGTCACTCAGATCAGAGCACTGGACAGTGATATGCAAACTCTGGTGTATGAAAACTACAACAAATTCATCAGTGCCACAGACACAATCAGAAAAGTAATTTCTGGTTTTATATTTATAATACAGTTGAACCTTGGTCTTGCAAATGTCTATATATCTAAATCTTTATGTGAAATTCTACATGTATATTCATAGTACAGTACCAGCCACTTTTTCTTTCTGTATTTTTTTCCCAATGTCTCAAATTTCAAAAAACTGTCAAATCTTGAAGCAGTTCTTTCATTGATCCCATCAAGTTCAAAACAATAAGGATTGACTGTTTTTTTCAATGTCAGAGAACATCACTCAGGCTTTTCCATCAAGTTGAACTGACTGAAAAGGCCAAGTGATGTTTCGGTTGACTGTATTTTATCTCTTATATTAAATCTGTTGAAAATTGTAAGATGCATTTCTCATTTCAAACTTGACAGATGAAAAATGATTTTAAGAAAATGGAGGATGAAATGGACCATTTGGCAACCAATATGTCGACAATTACAGAATTCAGTGGGAACATTAGTAACACTCTTCAGGACAGAAGACAGGAAATTACTAAACTATCAGGAGTTCACTCCCTTCTCAAGAGAGTAGGTTTTTCTGTGTGTTGTCATATCCAATATGAATATTGATCAAGATTTTGCAAATTTACCATAATAAGCAGTGTGAAAAATTACCATCAGTTTTTAAATCTAAAGGAATAAATTGCTACCCCGAATTATTGATAATATTGAATATGTTTTAGAACAATTATTAGTTTATTACTCTAGTTCTGCACATAGATTTTTGACACGAGGTGATTTCACATAAAAAGTACAAGACTGTATTTTAATTCTGCAACTTATTCATTATAAAAAAAAAATATTTAAAGCTATGATTATCTAATGTTATGCAAAACATTTACAATTCAGTATTTGTCTTTCAGCTTCAATTTCTGTTTGAGCTTCCTAAGAGATTAAACAAGTGCATTGAAATGAACGCTTACAGTCAAGCTG